ACAAAAAAGAAGATATTATATAATTTAAAATAAAATGTGTTTTAACTGATTTTAAAATTTTATTTGTCAACCAAAAAGTTTATTAAAAAAAAGTAAAACATATTTTTAATATTCTAATGAATTATGAAAATGAGTGCAAAACAAAAAACAGCACAAAAATTATCAATAATCTGTCATAAAGTATGAATTGAGTGACACTTGTTTTGATTATTCATGTTTTAGAGAGAAATGGTATCATAAACAAAATGAAAATCAACAAAATTATGTTTACCTCCGATGTTAGGGGCAGTTGAGCCCCAACATGACTCGACCACAGGTAGTAGTGTTGAGGTATAGATCGATAGTAACGCTAAGCTGAAGACCAGCACATTGTCGGCACATCTTTTATAATACATTTTCTCTTCAATCAAATATTATTTTCTTGCTTTTGCTTAAAACGTATCGCTTGTTGAATACGTTTTGTTCACATCTTTATTACACTTTCAATGATTTTTGACGACAAGTTTAGTGAAGACATTCAATAAAGAGTTGTGTTTTACTGTAGTATTGCATCTGAAAGGGAGATTTTGAGAGTTTGAGTGACAAAAAGTACAATAAAACAAATGGACACTAAAATGAATAAACAAGAGTTGAAAGCTTTTTTCGCAAACATTTGGGGCTTTGAAAACACTTTTACAGAAATGTTCAACAGAGTTATGGTTAGCCTTAGACCAGAGGGTATGGGTATCGCAACACTCGGAATATCAGATTAGCAGACATTCTATTGCTTTAATATGAGCTAAATATGAGGGCAATCACCACATCATTGCGGTTCATATGTAAGGATTCCTCGAAACAGAGATTCAATGTTTTTTAAACAACAAAACGCACAATAAATTACTTTTTATATTCATATAACGGAAAAATAGTGACATTTGCTAAATGTTTAATGTTTTCAAAAACTATAGCTTCAGTTCAAGTTGTACTTATGTCTCGGATATAGTGAATAAACAAAATTGAAATTCAAAATATAATTAAAACATTTGATCCCTTATGTGTTATTTCAAGTAATATTATATTATTCTAGCGATTCTTGTGTGTAAGTTATATAATATATAAAATATACAGAGAGGTAAGCCCTCCCAGTGCGCTCTCAATGCATACAAAACTATAAACCGGGTAAATTACTTTTTTTTGAAAACCCGCTTTTCAATAATATTTGCATTATAATTGGAAAAGATTTTTAATTTGCAAGTTATTCTGATTAAATAATTGATTGTAAAACTGTTATAATATATTAATATAATAACCAGAATTAGTGTTGATTATAGAAAATCTGGAAAACTGTGGTAAAACTTAGTCACAGAATAATTACACGGAATCCAGTGTTTAATATATTTGACAATTGATAACATTTATGAATAATTTGCAAATTAATGCATTTGATATTAACTAAAAGTTACTTTTACACAACTCTTATACATTTACCTCACTTAAATGACTAATAATATACAAAATATCTCTTACACAATTTATTATTCAAAACACTGTGAACAGTTGTGTATAGACACATTACCTCAAAGCGCAGGGGAAGGTACGGGTGATTATAGCCGTGTGCCCCAGACCTACACACAAATCATTGAATGCTACACCACTTCACACACACATCCAACAGTTATATGTATCACATGAATACAATATGAATACTATAGTGACAGTGACAGTGACCAGGGTGGTCTCTCGTTATTATCACACACTATCCTATTCACTCACCATTCACTTCAGTCACTGATACGACGATAAGGCACTGCAGTGTACCATAAATAGTGAATCGTAACGTTATTTGTGGACAAGTGGTAGCGGACATGAAAATGTCAGCTGAAATGTCGCTGAATTAATCGGTCAAATGTGCGGACTATTGCCACTCAACTCATTGTGTATTGACTTGTGATCAGCGTTTAACTCAGTGTCACATCTGGTGTCCAATCGAGTGACAGTTGAATGAGTTGTCATTACAGGCGACCACTGATTGTCACCGAAAACACACAAAACACTGAATGCTTTGCTGTGAAGACCACTTCAACGGCAGATATTCTATACTAAAGGTATGATTGACTCCCCGTTTGCTCTCATTTGCAGTCATTATTTGGCAAATGATTGCAATTAATAAGCAATCAATGAATGGTTAGTGTATTAGTGGTTGTGTTCCACTGATTGTGTGTTAGTATTGATTCATGAATTGTGTGTAAATGTGTTGAATGTGTGCTAATAATGAGTGAAATGTTCGCCATTTTATGGCTCATATGTATTGAATGAGTCGTCAATCGACTTAACATTACGTTCAATGCATCAAAACAGTACACAAATACTAATCAAACATTTATTTGTATTTATTTTTATGGTTTTATAAACTTATTTGTAATCCAAACGACAATCTCTTTGTCACTAATTATGAAACAATTACTTAATTAGAGGTAATATATTGTCTTTGATTTGCTTTTTGTTAATCGTTTGCTAATTGTCTCGTAATTAAGCGACAAATAAGTTATTAATTAATAATTACATGAATGACTCGTTATATACAATAGTAATGGCATTGAAAAGACAATTGATTTGAATCTATAATTGTCTCCTAAATGATAGCATTTATTACACATAAAAACAATGGCTTTAGGAAAATATGTATTTAATTCACGCTTTAGTTTTGCTTTTTTGTTGAAAACTGTTTTCATTTATGAAATGTTTGTTGTTTTCAAAATGAAATGAAAAGTAAAAATAGTTTTTTTTGTGTTTAAAACTTGTGAAAGAATTTGTGATTTTAAATGTTTTATTAGTTTTGAAGTACTCGTCAAATGCAGTGCATTAATGAATGCATTATTTATATTAGCATTCATTATGTAATTCAATTGAAAGCAAATATATTCCCAAATGCTTTGAAAGCAATTGATTTTTTCAAAGCAAACATCGCTTTCGATGTTATTTTACATACAATTTGTGTTTCGCTTGTATTGTCTATATTTTGCATCTGTTTGTCAATGAATTTATGCAAACATTAAATACATTTTCGCAAGTCTTATATATTAATTGAAAATATTGTTTTTTATCATATATTGAATATTGTCTATATGTATGGCTATTAACCATTGTGTGAGTACGGCGTCGAAGTTAATTTGGTTTAACAATAATCAATAACTCAGTCATATCTCCAGTAATCCTTATTTATTATAATGAGTTTGTTTTATCTCAACGCTTAATATTTGCGTTCAAAAGTTATAAATGTATTGGTTTTGCAAGTTTACAGATTAGGGGTCTGTCTAACGATTGTGTAAACTTTTTTTGAAGATTTATTTTACTCAAGAAAAACAAAATTTTCAAAAATGGATTCACTTTTAGCTTAAGGTTTTTGTGCGGAATCGCATCCAAAAACAAGTAATGAATTCAAAGGCAATAAATTAAAGCGTTTTAAGAGTAGTTGTTAAATGAAATGTGCTATAAGTCTGACCAATAAGTTCTCTCCAAGTTTAAGGTTCTTCTCTCTCTTTCTCTCTCTCTCTCTCTCTCTCTCCCTCCCTCTCTCTCTCTCTCTCCCTCTCTCTCTCTCCTGCCTTTAGAGACTTTTTTGTGTTATCTTAGGCCTAACACAACACAAAATCGCGAAATACTGTGTATAGCGTTAGAGACTGAGTCCCTGGTTCTGTCAAAAGCGTGGCTTTAATATTGTGGTTGTGTTGAGAATAGCTATGAATATATTGTAGTGAATGTACGGAACGGCAGATCTGTTTATAATTTATTTAATACTGGTTTACATTAGTGTTGAGACGAACTGTTTTAGACGATTAGCCCTCTGAGCCATCGCTGGCAACTGTCTTCAAACACTTCTTTCGCTGAAGTGCTATAAAGTGTATTCACATTACAGTACTGTATAGTATAGACATTAAACTTTTTTAAGGTATTTCTCACTCATTCTATGATATGTCTTATAAGAGTCACTTATATAACAAGTTTTCCCTCCGAATCGGAGAGTTTGGGAATTTGGGATTATTTTCACATCTTTCTGGTGGCCTTACTATTGGTCACAATGTCTTACATAATAAATTAAGTAATAGACCGTCACTTAGGACTTAAAGCCATCAGTAATTTGAGCTAAACTTTAAAGCAATAGAATGTCTGCTAATCTGATATTCCGAGTGTTGCGATACCCATACCCTCTGGTCTAAGGCTAACCATAACTCTGTTGAACATTTCTGTAAAAGTGTTTTCAAAGCCCCAAATGTTTGCTTTTTTCGCTTTCATCTCTTGTTTATTCATTTTAGTGTCCATTTGTTTTATTGTACTTTTTGTCACTCAAACTATGAATATCTCCCTTTCAGATGCAATACTACAGTAAAACACAACTCTTTATTGAATGTCTTCACTAAACTTGTCGTCAAAAATCATTGAAAGTGTGATAAAGATGTGAACAAAACGTATTCAACAAGCGATACGTTTTTAAGCAAAAGCAAGAAAATAATATTTGATTGAAGAGAAAATGTATTACAAAAGATGTGCCGACAATGTGCTGGTCTTCAGCTTAGCGTTACTATCGATCTATACCTCAACACTACTACCTGTGGTCGAGTCCTGTTGGGGCTCATCTGCCCCCAACATCGGAGGTAAACATAATTTTGTTGATTTTCATTTTGTTTATGATACCATTTCTCTCTAAAACATGAATAATCAAAACAAGTGTCACTCAATTCATACTTTATGACAGATTATCGATAATTTTTGTGCTGTTTTTTGTTTTGCACTCATTCTCATAATTCATTAGAATATTAAAAATATGTTTTACTTTTTTTTAATAAACTTTTTGGTTGACAAATAAAATTTTAAAATCAGTTAAAACACATTTTATTTTAAATTATATAATATCTTCTTTTTTGTTTTAAGTTTTATTATTTATTGCATTCTTTATAATATAAATAAATGTTAAAACAATAATATAAAACAGATGAATACACACTGGAGTTGTTTTGCTAGTTTCAGATTATTTTCTAGTATTTATTAATTAATTAATTTGTTTATTTTATTAGTGATAGCATTTAAATCATTTAAATTTCTCTGAATTTATTCATTTATTAATTTTTAAAAATAAAAATTAAGGGGTAGTGAAGGCCTTATTGTTATTGCCTTTTTAATAGACATACAGTCGCTGATAATGTGGTTTTAATTTGTTTGTAATTTTGTGTGACAGCTATGACCCCGGACCAAAAGTTGTTAAATGGAAGTCAACTGTTAATCGAGTGCTCATTGAATAACAATACTATAGAATACGATGACAACAGATATGAAGTGAATTCATCGATGATTTCATTCAAGTTTGCGAACCAATACTATAATGAAGACAGAATCCGTACGATAAGCCCGACGGCCGCCCAACTGGTGGTCCCGGAGGCCACCGTTGACGACAACGGCATGTACTTCTGTATGCTCAACATCTCTGGTCTCGATCATCACCCCCTTGTCTGCGTCAGTCACGTCATAGTCGGATGTATGCCATACCAGTGCCACCAATTGGATGACTATATTAATTGAATACCACTTTCTATTTATTTACTTTAAGACAAACCTCAACCCGTCGTAGACTTCAAGTGCATTAGTTTGTATTATCGCAAACTTCACTGTTCATGGACTCCGCCCTACAATCCCATTGCCACCACTTATCACCTCGAAGATAGTGTACACAACACCAGTCCATCAAAGTAAGCCCTATCCGTACAAATCTACTCTAAATTTTAAAATAGCTTTTTTCATATATTTTAATAAATTTGTGTTCAAATAAATTAAACTTGAGCCAATTGTGTCGTGGCATTGATTACATTAGGCTTATAACACAAATAAACAATTTTGATATATTTATAGCTATTAGACAACTAATGAATAGTCTATTACCGTACTAGTCATTTGTTTATTAGAATTGAGAGCTAATAATAAATTGTAAAATAATTGATTTGCAGTTATTTGGTGCGAAAATGTGGGATTATAGGAGAAAACAGTTGCGAGTGGACCACAGACACAGACCCGCCCTATCGGAACACTGTCCTCAAGTTCCACCTGATACTGACGGGTCAGAACCACTTTGGCCGCCACTCACAGGTGTTTGTGGTCGACCACTACAGTATTATCAAACCCAATATACCTAAGAACTTAATGACTGTCGATGTGACCACTAATAAGATAAGTCTGGTTTGGAAACCACCCGAATATATAGAATATGACGAGGAGTTACTCGAGGCTATCGTCTATGAAGTGCAGTATCACTGGAGAGTTCCCAACACTTCTAATCAAAACCAAAACAGTCGACCCGTTATTATAGACGGCATTCACAATACGTCTATCGTTTTGACGGATTTGATTCCATACATGAGTTATAATATAAGCATTCGATGCAAAACAATACAATCAAAAAGTAGTGAATACTGGAGTGATTTCAAGTCAATCACTGTATTGACTAAACCCGACGGTGTGTTTGTTATCTATTTTCTTAACAAGTTTACAAAAAACATATTCTTATCTCTTGTTTCTTCCCTTCAGTGCCATATTTGGCGCCGGAATTGATTCGCGAGTCCTTCCAAACCGACAAAAATATGGAGGGAATGAGAAGTATTACTCTATTCTGGAAAGAGATTCCTATAGAGTATAGGAACGGAAAAGACTTTCACTATTCCATTGAATACAAGGAACAAATGTATCGCAAACAGAGGGCCAGTAATCTATTGGACAAAGGATTCAATGATATGATTATCAGTCACAACACGAGCTATACGTTGACGCACATGAAGTCAAACGTTGCCTACACTTTCAAAATAACCGGTGTTAACGCTCAGGGAGTCTCCAGAAACTCCTCGACCATTACTGTCAACCGGAACGATATTATTGCTCACAAACCACTAAATATTGACGTCTATTCGTTTGGTGGCGGGAGATATGAGGTTCAGTGGACAGAGCCTCGCAATAACACTATGAGTGGATCCGTTGTCAACTACACTGTGTTCTGGTGTCGGACTCTCAGACCCCGACCCTTCCCCTGTGACGGCGCCATTGATTGGGTTCACACTAACAATAAGTCCATAGCATTAGAATTGCCAGACATTAGGTCTAACTATCAGTTTGCGGTCTCTGCCAATACATTGACCACCACTTCGGGCATGTCTTGGGCTGAATGTATAGTTCCCATCGATGGAAGACTCGACAAATTGAGTGAAGTTCACCTCAAAGGACTCAACTCTACGAGTATAGCGGTGTCGTGGAAGTTGGGCTGTCCCGCACAGAAACGAGTGGTCGAGGGATACAAAATAAATTACTGCAAACTCGAGATTCTAGACATTTGCACCCAAAGTGGGAGTCGACACATAACTGTCAACAATTCGGTCGAAAGCTATACATTAAGCGGTTTATTGCCGTTCACTAAATACAAGATAACTGTCGTATCGTTTTCGGATTCCGGACCCAGCGATGAAAGTGATCCCAAATTCGAGACCACAGAACACGACTCGCCAGAGGACGCGCCCTCCAGTCTGGAAGTGGCAAACATTACGAGCGATTCGTTATCCCTTTCGTGGAGACCACCGAAGTTACCGAACGGCAAGATTTTCTCGTATGAAATCAAATGCAATCATAATGTTTACAAAGAGGACAAAGTGTCTCACATTTGCAATGCTGATGGCTGTTCCAAAACCATTAACGGTCTCAAGAGCTTCTGGATCTATGACATACAAGTGCGCGCCTGTAATAATGACGCCCTGTGCTCTCCGTACACCCCAAGCAAAGCAATTAAGACCAGCGCTTGGATTCCACAACAGATGGATCCGCCCCGAAGTGAAGTCTTTAACACAACGTCTGTTCGGATTTCGTGGTCAGCGCCTGTCCTGGCTAACGGTCCCATTGATTACTATAACTTGGAATTGATTCGCACCGACAACTCAACGGCGTTATACAATATTTCGGGCAAACAAAGAGACTATTATTTGTCGTTAGACTGCGGGTCCGGTCGGGAATGGCTAACGGTCCCATTGATTACTATAACTTGGAATTGATTCGCACCGACAACTCAACGGCGTTATACAATATTTCGGGCAAACAAAGAGACTATTATTTGTCGTTAGACTGCGGGTCCGGTCGGGACGAGTCGGTTGAGTATCGCCAGCAATATTCGGTCAGAATTAGAGCCGTAAACGTTGTTCACAATGACACAGAACTGGTTGGGGTTTACAGCGAAACGGCTAATTTGAATGCCTGTCTGTTCAACGACAGAAATATTGTAACAATAATAGGTTTGGTCGCCGGCGGCACCTTTGGACTCATGTTATTAGTGATGGTTTTGGTTGTATTGGTTCGTTGGATGAAACGACACATCCGTTCCATCAATAGTCTGAACATAGAATTGCCGAAAGGTCTGGAAGTGCCACAACTGGTGACCGACCAGTCGGACAGAGACAACAGAGACGGTGGCTTTAGTCCATTCGCTCGTAACGACAGTATTCCTAATATGGTTGTACCCAACAATGATGGCGATGACGACGACTCCTTTAAGAACAGACACGGGTCTGGACTCTCGCATACAAGCAATTCGTCGACCGAGGGATTGATTTACAGAAATACTCCGAATAAGGGGAACGACAACTTCCTTCGTATGGCCAGCCATGACAGCGGACAGCATGAGAGCGTGTCGTCACATATGAGCGGTGGAGAAGCGCACATGTCTTCGGATTCAGGCGTTGAAATTGATGCACAACTCCTAAGCATAGATATAGAGGCGCAACACATCAACAGAATTAGTCCGAAGCCTCCGCTCCCGATATTGGATGAGATCTCTTCGCGTAATAGCGATTCAAGTGGCAGTAAAGACTCGGGACTCGACATAAACGCCGGTCTCGTGAGGAAACAGAGGAAACGGAAGCCAAAGAATATGAAAACGAATTCAAAGATCTCATCGATAATTATGCCGACGAGAACTGAAGTGCAGAATCCGTTGTACGACATCCAGAACCCGATGGGACACGCCGTCTGTATTTACTCGCTTCTGGCCAACAGTGAGCCCTCGCTTTGTGAGCCGGCCCTCCGTGAAGACGACAACATATTGAGTGACTTAACGAAGTTTACGAAACCAGAAATGGCTAAAAGTCTGACGAATATAATTCAGAGTTGCGGGCCGTCCGACCCAAAAGTCAATTGTATTATTTGCGAGACAAACAACACTTCCAACAGAACCTCTTCGCCTAACTGTCCGTATTATAAGTACGGAATAAAACGACAAAATCATATCCCAAACAATTATGTCACAAATTTTACGCCAGAAAAGGGCAACAAAATGGATGCTAAACCAACCAACGGGTACATCACTATTGATAGTATTATGGATAGTCGACAAACTCTACCACCGAAGCCCCTGAAGAAGCGCTTAGAGCACGACTGGTCTCAAAACAGTTACGACGCGGAGGTGTCGTCGACCTCATCTAACGGTGATAACGATCACACGGATGTCTCTAATCCGACAAACTTTACACACAATTGTGTCAATTTTACCGATTGTCAGAAAATACAGAACACTGACAATACAACAGACACTCAAACAAATGCCATTTGTATCAACAACTCATCCATATATCCATTGAGGACATCATCACAAGAAGTCGATGACGAGTGCGAAACACATTTAAGTGATTCCGAAGAGTGGACAGCATTATCGGGTGCCAAACAGTCGCCCACTAATGAGAGCAATGTGTTTGTTAGGGACAGTAATGGTTATGTATTACACAATGCGGTCAATCAGTTGACTGCAAACCAAGTAAAACCCAATGTAATCAGGAAATCAAACGGATATGTAGTCATTGAGACCAATGGCATTGAAATGAATGATTTTGTGCCAAATAGTAATATTATCAGTCATGTGACACAAGTTTGAGCTTTTGTTACGTTTATTCAAATTGTGCTAAATTGCAATTTTCTCATTACATATTAATATACAATCACATTCTCATACATATTGTATATACTGTTTTCATTTGCTCATTCAATTTGTTATATATTTCATTATTCACCTAAAGTCGGTATTTTGTAATCATTTTCATAAGCTTTCATACATACGCTTGTATTGAAAACACCTCTTATTTGTTGGCAAAAATGATAGTACAATTTGGACATAAATGTGCAGTACTTGTGGTCAGGGATGAGAAAATTGGTACAAAACAAGCAATCGATTGATTAGTTTTTAGAGATTTTTAGCTTTTAATTATTTTGCATAATGTAATCAAAAACTATATTTTGCACATATTTTCTCAAAACTGACTCAAAGTAATGTATTTCTAGTCAACATATAAATCGACTCTAATCTGGTTTTTTCTATGTCTAACTGTTTGGACAGCAATTTGTATATAAATTATTAATCGCTTTTTGAGTTGACATAAAGACATACACTTTTAATTGTATTAATGAATGGGTTCTTCAAAAATGTTTATCCATTTAGAGGTAACTATTTTTGCAATACATAACACACTTTCAGTGAAATTCTTATATTTGAGCAAATAATCTGATGCTTAGTTTGTATGTAAATAATGTAAATCCTGAGCGCTATTCATATCATCATAAGTGTGTTGTGTTTGAAAAGCGCTGCCAATGAAACACTTTCAGTGAAATTCTTATATTTGAGCAAATAATCTGATGCTTAGTTTGTATGTAAATAATGTAAATCCTGAGCGCTATTCATATCATCATAAGTGTGTTGTGTTTGAAAAGCGCTGCCAATGAAAAGGCGGACCCAATCCTACCGACGATTTCTATCGAAAGATAATATTTTATATAAATCTAAAGATTTGGAATGTTTTTAAAAATTTACTTATTTTTTAACATAAAAACAATTATTTTCAACAGTTTTGTTATTTATATATATTTTTGTCATTAAAATGAAGTGTCGGTCCATATGAATAACAGTAGCAATGAATTGTTAATTAAAAAAAACAATTGACTAAAAGTATGTCTTACGATCGGAACTAAACGGTTAGAACTTCTGATATAAAAATCTATTTCTCTGTTTCGTTATACCCTTTGTATACAATATGTTTGTCTGTAAAACAAAATCTATTTTCAAAAGTAATTTATTAATTATAGATGAAATCATTGAAGCAATCGATACTCAAATTTATTCATCAATATATTGTTGAAAATGTAATTTTTCATATTTATTGTAAATTTACAAACAAATAAAAGTTATATTATTTACATTATTTTGATTTCATTTATTGAATATAAAAATTAATTATCGATTTTATGTAATAATTGAGATTTAAATAATACTGTATTATAAAGTTAAACTTATATTTATATTTTAAGGTTGAATATGAATATTGTGTAAATTTATTTAACTATAAAAATATTGAATTCTTGAGACTTAATAAGGAAACGAGTGTTTTATTCTAATAACATGTTTACTCTATTCAGCTATTTGTTGATTATTGCTTTCAATAGCAGTAAATTGATAGCTATTTCTTATCATTAGAGCTAATTGAGGGTCACTTTATATTAATAGTGTGGTCACAGAATCGGTCAGATTTTAAGTAATTTATTAAAAGAGGAATTTTGTTATAATAATGAAAATGTAGCCATAATTTAGCATTATATTTGGGTATGACTTGAATGGAGGATAATATTCATATTTTATTGCTAATCAATAATTGGACTGAATTCTGAATTACAAGCTTAAGTTAATTTCATATTTCAATCATATTGATCATGCAATATCAATACAATTGAGCAAATACAGTAAATGGGTTAAATTATAAATTTTTAATATAATGTAATGAATGGTTGAATAAATATAAATCAAGACTAATAGGGATGCAATTGATATGAATTTGAATGAGTGGTCGACGTATGCGTAGT